AGAAAACATAATTTAATTTTTAAAAAGAGAAAGAAGGATTCTGATAGGGAAGAGGTCTAAGCGAATGCATTCCAGGGATGGAGGAAAGGTTTTGCAAATGCACAGAAACAGAAGATGGAATCACAAGTTTAGGGAACAGTCAGCCAACCAGCTGGTTTGTAATATAGTCATGGGCAGTAATGAGAAATAAGGTTAGGAAAAGTCGGAGTCAGATTGTGAAAGGCCTTAAACACCTGAGTAATTATTTTGTGTTTTATTCTCCAAACAATAAGGAATGACTTAAGATTTTTGAGCAAGTGAGTAAAATGGTTACACCTACGTAATAGGAAGATTATTTTTGCTCTTTGAATTGTGGATTGGAAAGAATGAAGGCAGTTCAAGTTAGAAGACTAATGGCCCAGGTGAAGGGTGATAAGGGCTTGAATTATAGTATTAGAAGTGTAAAAAAGTAGAATAGGACAGATAAGAGCAATATTGGGGAATAAGAATTGACATGATTTGGCAATGGTTGTAGGAGATGAGAAAGAGAGAAAAAGCTCTTCAGTTCTTCCACATTCTCCTAGCATATCTCTTGTGTTCACCTGTCCCCACATTCAGCCTTGACCCATGAAAATTTTGGTTCACTAGCTATTACAATCTGAATGCTGTGCTCTGTCCTTCTGATGTTCTCAACCATCAAATCCTCATCCTTGGAAAACCAGTTACAACTGAGTTCTCCAACTTTTGCTCCATGGCTACTGGGCATTGCTGGACAAAAATCACAAAATCAAGTTGACTTCACTCAATAAAAAAATTCAAGTTACGTGACATCATCTGGTCCTTTGATGCTACTCAGCAAGTTGTTGTTGTTCAGTTGTTTCAGTTGTATCCAACCCTTCATGATTCCATTTGGGGTTTTCAAGACAAAGATACTAGAGTGGTTTGCCATTTCCTTCTCCAGTTCATTTTACAGATGAGAAAATTGAGGCAAACAAGGTTTGATTTGCCCAGGGTCACATAGCTAAGTAAGTGCCTGAGGCTGGATTTGAACTCAGGTCTTTCTGACTCCAGGTCTAGCACTTTATTCACTGTGCCACCTAATTTCTCCTCTATTCTTAAGGACTCCTTATCTTACTGACCACAGTACCTTGTTTCCAACCTTGTATACTCTGCTTTCATGCTCAATCACACTCAACATTAAACAAATAAGTGGTTTATAATCTCCAACTCTTCCAAGAAAGATAAGGCCATCTGACAACAACTCCCTCAACTCCTCATCCTCATTTCCTCAAAACTTCTCAGTATCATTACTTTCACTCTTCCTCCTTCCTTCTGATCAAAAATGAAAAACTATTCCTACTACAGATTAAGGCAAGGATCCTTAACCAATTTGGTGCGTCATTGACCCCTTTGGCAATTTAATGAAGGCTGTGGACCTCTTCTCAGAATCATGCTTTTGGATGCATAAAATACACAGGATGACAATGGAAACCAATTTTATTGAAATAAGTAATCAAGATCTTTTTTCTAAATTTCATGAATCCCTGCACTAAAGCTATCCCACTATCTGTGCTTTGATTCTTTCCTTTCTTGCCTCCTTCAGATACATATTCTAACAATACTTTCTGCTTCTCTCATGAATCATCAGGCTCCTCCTTTCCAATGGAGGTTTTCTCCCCCTATCAAATACGAAAGTCTCCTTGATACTTTAATGGAGCTCATCCATGTAGGTAGAACAAGACCCATCCATGCCTTCTCTTTCTGTGTCATTATTATCTATGACCTCCTATAAGTACTCCACAAGGATGTCCATCCAACTTGTTGAGTACTATCCTCTAAACCCTCTTGACATTGCATTGACGCTAATGGAGCAACAAAGCCATCTATCAGTTATCACTCACACATGACTGGCCTTCCTTCTTTTTCCACTAATACATTTTTCTGATTATATCTTTTATGATGCTTCTTCTGCACAATTGTTTATTGGTAGTATGCATCCTACTCACACTCAGTATGTGCTTTATCTTTTAAGTGACAAGAAGTTTTAATTCTTCTTTGTATTCCATGACTTGAAACCATTTAAATCCACTAGAAGAATACTGATTAAAAAAAAAAAGGATGTCTTTTTTTCAGGAAGTAGCTTGAGGTGATTAAGAGCACCATGTGATTTCCCAAAAACAATCCTATCCCTTTCTCCTTTCAGTTCAATTCTGGGGGCAGTTTATTGTCTTTAAGTAATCTCAGTCCAAGATCTATGTACTAATAGACTAAATTGATGAGCTGACCATCCATCTATATATGACAACATGAACAATAGCCATTTTTCATCCACTTGGTTTTTCCCCATCAATCTTTTAAAAATACCATCTCCTTGCCCTTCCATTCTATTCAGCTATTGAACAGTCTCTCTGGTTTCCTTTAATAGTTAAGCTTGCTGAACAAGTCATTGTACTGAAACTATCATCTTAAGGTCATCTTTTTTTTAAAAAAAACATTCTTTTTCTCATGAACTTAGCAACATAAAATTTCAACATTCAAAGAACAAAAGAGATTTTATGTGAACCTTTCAATTTCTGTTACATGTAGTATTTTAAGCATACTTCAATTTGACAAGGTAGCAACAAATTATCCTGTTTGTGTCCCTCCCCCTACAAACTTCCTTCTATTTTCTTCTGTGTATTTCTTAAAATTTAATTAATACTTTCCTAATTTTTACATCACTCTCACTAATTATTAAAATTCCCTCCCTTGGAACAAGTAAGTATATTCAGATAAAAGGAATCAACAGGTTTAACCATGTCTGAAGATGAATGTCTCATTCTGCACCTCTAATCCATCACCTGTCTGTTAAGAGGTATGAGACATGCTTCATTGTTAGCCTTCCAAAGTCACGATTGGTCACTGTGTTGATCAGGGTTCTTACATAAGTCCTTCAAAATTGTTTTCCTTTGAATTACTATGGTCACCATAGAAACTATTTTCCTTGCTCAAAGGTCATATCCCAATTGGGAGTCCAGTGACCTTTTTTCTATCCTAATACTCCCTGACCATTTTCAAGCTTTGAAATGGCTGATTATCACTCCTCCTGAACACTGGTTTCCTCCCTTGACCTCAGAAATATCACACCCTCTTGGCTCTCCACCTTTCTCTAATCACTTCTCCTCTCTCTTTCACTGACTCATTTTCTTCTGGATTTTCCATTGTTAGTTTTTGTCTCTTTTCACTCTATATTCTCTCCCTTGGCAATTTCATTCACTCCCATGGTTCTGACTACCATCTCCATGCAAATGATTCCATCTCCAGCAACCTCCAGTTGCTGACCTTTTCTTTGAACTCCAGAACACACCTCAAATTGCCTTCAGGAATTCTCTCCTTGGATATCCCACCAGCCTATCCCCATTCACCAGTGACCATATAATCTTTCCCCTAAGTCTGCTCCTCCTTCTAACCTAAACACCATTCACAGAACCTCTCACATTTATAACTTTAAGATCATCTTTGACTCTTCCTATAAGTTACCAGGACTGACTTAATCCACATCCTGGTTGGACCTCTTGTATCTATACACCGGCTTTTCTAATTTTATACTTCATATAAAAAGTATCTCTCACTACTTCTTATGCTTGGGTCATCCTTTGTAACCTGGGCTACTTGCACCCATCACACATCTCTCCAATTTCTTTTGGATCTGCAGCTTTGATTCTTCAGGGACTTCAATGTTCCAAAACCACACAACATCACCCCCAAAAAGTGCTTAAAAGACAGGTTTTTGTGTAAGGGACCAATTTGGGATCATAGGCATTTAACAAATATTATTTACTGTTATATTTGTATTCTGCAAAGCAAATAATTATTCTATGATAACCTCTCTTATTCATCATGTTCAGGAAATCAAAACTCCTTACACAACGATTTTAGCTAGTAATAATCTTTACCTCAGACACTATATATGTATTACTGATTTTTAAAGAATAAGAATACAGTAGAACATTTAAATTCAAAACTATATTGAAGAAAAAGTTAGCTTCATTTGATGAAGAGGTCATCTTAAATTATACAATGAGAGCTAGAAGGGACCTATGAAGTCATCTATTCCAACACCCTTACTGTAAAGATCTCACAGGACCTCTATGTCATTACGAAGTCAATTATCATTACCAAAAAATTCCTAACAAACTATCATAGATTTTACTATATGGTGCAAATAATCAAATTCTAAGTTATCTGTTGCATAAGTTTGCATTTTCCCATAATTTTTTTTAAAAGAAGATACACTGTACTGCCCACCAATCACCTCTCACCATATAGACTTTTGTTTGTTGTTGTTGTTGCTGTTCTGTCGTTTTCAGTTGTGTCCAACTCTTTGTGACCCCATTTCTTGGCAAAGACACTGGAGTGGTTTGCCATTTTCTTCTCCAGTTTATTTTACAGATGAGGAAACTGAGGTAAACAGGGTTAAGAGACTTGCCCAGGTCACCCAGCTAGTAAGCTCCTAACGCCAAATTTGAACTCGGGAAGATGAGTCTTTCTGACTCCAGTCCTAGCACTTTATCTACTTTACTATAACCAAAGGTGAGACTAGAAATAAACAATGTTGGTAGCTAGTAATAGTTCAAAATTCAAGGGAGCACAAAGGACCTTTTAAAATATTACTTCATCTAAATGCATGTATTTTGATGCCAGAAAATTCCATTCTTCATACCATACAGATATTTATATTATTGTAAATCAAATATCTGGTTTAAATGAATGCTTAAAGCCTCTGATGGACAGTAACACAAAGAAAATTCAATTTTTGAACCCTGCTTTCGATACAGAAATGCCTTGTCTCAACTCTGGCCATAATCAGGACATTTCTGCTCTGACATTCTGGTATGAATTTTGATTGGCTAATAAGTCAGCCATGGTGGTGTGGCTCAGGAAAGCATCCCAAAACTCTTCCTCTTATTCCTTTTCTAATACCACAGGGTCAGTTCCAACAGAGGCTCTGAGAAAAGCAATTTTGTCTAGAAATTACTCACCTTCATCCTTCAATTGATCTGCTTTCCCCACATCTTCAGGCAAAGAATTTGAGAGCGGCAAAATGTCATTCTGAAACATTTTTTTAAAAAAATCAATGTGATTTTCATTTCAGGCAACAAAGATTCATCCAACAGAACCTCTAACAAAACAATGACAAATTAAAGATTCTGATTATGTATCACCCACCACTATAGAAATCATACCATGGTATCAACGCCTATTTTATCCAGATTTTCTATGGTTAGACTTGGGTCCAACCAGGAGATACTCAACAGTCTGCTCTGGTAAATATCACAAACATATACAAACCATTATCTCAAGGGGAACATGGAAGAGCCTATATTTCACCACCTGCTTACATGTAAGGTTTCATGTTTATTTTTATCTTTGGTTCACCTTTTCAAGTACATAAATCTATTTATAATTCTATAGAAAATATAGTTTATGAATAATTGTAATGCTTATTTATAACAAATCCATCAAATGTGACTCAGTATTATTAAAATTACAGTATGTATAATTTTTTAAATTCTATAAATATTACCTATTTCATGTTTGACTCACATAACCTCCTTGAGGGCAGGAACTGTCGTTGGTTTTGTTTTTGTATTCCCAGTCCCCAGCACAGTGCCTTGCTCATAAGTAGGCATTTAATAAATGCTTGTCAGACTAGAAGTTAAGGATTATTAATAAAACATCTGAATCTCACTATTGGGTTTTTAGATAAACCATTACATTTTTGTTCTCATTTTAAGTCAAGCAAGTAAACTGAAGGAATTTTTTTTAAAAAAGCATAATATAATTCTGCTGAAAGCTTAATAGGAGACTCTAACAGCTGCAATCAGTTAAAATTGCCTTCAGCTATACAAGACGAAAATAAGCTTGGTATAGCATTGCATCCCTCCCCTGAATATTTCAGGGTTTTTAGGGGGTTTGCTGTTTCAGTTCTAAATCTCTACCAAACCTAGACAGAGCAGGGGATAAAAAGGTTATTTTTTTTTAAAAAACTTCAAGTCAGATGTTAGCAATATTTTATTTTTAAAAAGTTGATATTAGAAGCTAAATTATAACTTACTCTTCCTAGATCCTAGAAGGTGGAATGTTCTATTTTAATGATGTAATTCAAGCTTTGGAAACTCATCTAAAAACCACCTCTCATGAGCTGGAGGTAAATTTGACCATCATATGACTTGGAAGCTAACTTCACTTCATCTAACCAAAGGCCTAACCACTGTTTGAGCTTAAAAGAAGGGGAAGAGCTGAATCCAAAAAATCTTAAAAAAAGAAGACCTACTTTACAACCAAGTACACTTTCTTCTGTTATAAATAATTTTCTAAATTCTTCAATTTCAGGCATATGTTGGTGACTTTGTAATCATCCTCTGGTAACAAACATACTCAATGAAATGATAATTTTTAAAATAAAAATACTAGAGAGTATTTATTTATTTCAACAGATTTTTATTTATTTCATTAAATATTTCCCAATTGCATTTTTGAAAATTTTTAATTCTCTCCCTCCCCTTCATAGCTTTTGAGAAGGCAAGAAATATGATCTTGACTCTCATGTGAAGTCATACAAAACATATTTTCATATTAGCCATGTTGCAAAAGAAAACACCCGCAAAAAAGAAAAATAAAGAAAGTGGAAAAATAAGCTTCAATTTGCACTCAGAATTCATCAGTTCTGTTTCTGGACAAGGATAGCATTTTTCATCATGGGTCCTTTGGAACTGACCTGGATCACTGTCTTGATCAGATTAGCTAAGTCTTTCACAGATGATCATTACAATATCACTGTTACTATGTACAATGTTCTCCTGATTCTTCTCACTTCACTTTGCATCAGTTCATGTAAGACTTCCCAGGTTTTTCTGTAACCATTCCCCTCATCATTTCTTATAGCCCAATAATATTCCATCACAATCATATACTATAACTTGTTCAATTGATGAGTATCCCCACCATTTCCAATTCTTTGCCACCACGAAAAGACCTGCTGTAAATATTTTTGTACAAATAGGTCCTTTTCCCTTTTCTATGATCTCCTAAAGAATTATTTATGAAAACACAAATAACTCACTATGCTTTTATTACAGAAATTCCATGAAGAAAGAGTTGAACAAAATGGATAAATAGCTAGCAGACAGCCACATTTCTTACCAGACAGTTTTATGACATGTAATTACAGTGACATCCCTATTAAGAAATTCTCAGACAACAAAGGCAACTTGGGCATGGAGGAGCTTAGGAAAAGTTATATTCTTCAGTGAGCTTCACCACATTGGCAGTGATAGTAGCTAAGAAAAAGGAGAAAGCACAGGCACTGTCTGTCTTCTGTTGGGTAGTCCAGGGCTCAGACCCAATACAGCAGAGTTGATGAATTCTGTAGCTACTTCTAGCTAGCTAACTCAATGCTGTAAGAATTTGGCATTTTGTTATGGCATACCAAACTCTAAATGGTCCCTTGGTTCAACTATCATGTCTATGCAGATCATTCCCAGGTCTATGTCCAGCCTTAGTCTCTCTCATGAGCTTTAATTGTTGTTGTTCAGTTGTTTTCAGTTGGGTCTGGCTCTTTGTGACCCTATTTGGGGTTTTCTTGGCAAGGTACTAGAGTGTTTTGCCATTTCTTTCTCCAGCTCATTTTACAGATGAGCAAATAGAGTGATTTGCCCAGGGTCACACAGATAGTCAGTGTCTGAGGCTGCATTTGAACTCAGGTCTTCCGGACTCCGGGTCTGGCACTCTATCCATTGTGCTCCTTAGCTGCCAGTCTGTTGTCAGATCTTGTCATTTCTACTCTTACAACATCTTTCCTATACATCTGCCTCTTTAAATCACAAAGCTACTCATACATCCTTGTACAGGCCCTTATTAACTCTCTCCTGGACTAATGCTATTAAGAATAATAATAAAGGCTATTGCCTTTTATTGATCTCCCTGCCTCAACTCTCTTCACCACTCTCCAATTCATCTGCCATTCAGCTGTCAAAGTGACCTTTCTAAAGTTCAAATACTGCTCTTTGTTGGTTCTCATCCCACCTATCTGCCTATTCCTTCTCAGTCTCCTTTGCTGATTCTTCATCCATTCATCCAGGACACACACACACACACACACACACACACACACAAACTGTTGGTATTCTACAGGGCTCTGTCCTGCATCCTCTTGTCTTCTCCCTCTATACTATTTCACTTACTGGTCTCATCAGCTCTCATGGGTTCAGTTACCATCTCCATGCTGATGATTCTCAAATCTACTTATCCAGCCCTAACCTTTCTGCTGACCTCCAGTCTCCAATTTCCAGATGCCTATTGGACCTCTCCAACCAGATGAACTGTAGACATCATAAACTCAGCATGTCCAAAACGGAACTCGTTATCCTTCTGCCTAAACCCTCTCTTCTTCTAAACATCCCTCTTACTGGCAAGGGCATCCCCATCCTCTCAGTCCCTCGGGATCACAACCTAGGTGACATTCTCAACTCATCACTCTCTTTCACGCCCACACCCACATTCAAACTGTTGCCAAGATCTGTCAATTTTACTTTCATAACATCTCTCAAAATATATCTCCTTCTCTCCTCTGACACTGCCACCACTCTGGTATAGGGCCTCATTACTTCATGCCTCAACTGTCGCAACAGCCTACTGGTGGGTCTGCCGGCCACGAGTCTCTCCCCATTCCAGTCCGTTCTCCACTCAGCCATCAAAATGGTCTTCCTGAAGAGTAAGACTGACAACTGAGTAAGAATGATTCAGTAAACTCTGGGCTCCCTATCATGTCTGCTGCCCACCCCACCTTTCCAGTCCTCTTTTACCTAATACCCACCATGAACTATGCTTTTCAATGACACTGGCCTCTTCACTTTTTCTCATATCAGACACTCCATCTCTTGACTCTGGGCATTTTTAGTGGCTGTCCCCCATACCTGGAATACTCTCCCTCCTCATCACTGACTCCTGGCTTCCCCAGCTTTCTTCAGGTCCCAACTAAAATACTGTCTTCTACAGGAAGCCTCTCCTAATCCCTCTTAATTCCAGTGCCTTCTTTCTGTTGATTATTTCCAATTTATTCTGTATATATCATGTTTGCACATAGTTATTTTCATGTTGTTTTCCCCATTAAAATAAGAGCTCCACAAGATCAGGGACTGTCTTTTACCTTTCTTTCCATTCCCAGCACTTAGCACAGTACCTGGCACACAGTAGGCACTTAATAAATGTTTACTTACTGTCTGACTCCATGCCCTGTACCATCCAGCTATACTGGTCTCACACATTCCATTCCATCTCCCAACTCTATGTATTTGCCCTCACAGTCCCCTATGCTTGGAATGCTGTCCCTCCTTACCTCCACCTCCTGGTTCCCCTAGCTTCCTGCAAGGCTTAGCTTGAACAGCACCTTCTCCTGAAGGCCTTTCTAGGTCCCCCCACACTCCTAGTCCCTTCCCTGTGAGAATGCCTCTCATTTTGACTGTATATATCTTGTATGTATATAATTATTTGTATTTGTCACCATATTACAATGTGAGCATATTGAGAGTAGAGACTGAGTTTTTTGCTTTTTCTTTGTGCTCTCCCCTCCCAGCTTAAACAGTGCTTAGTATTTAGTAAATATTTAATAAATGCTTACTGAATGACTGATCCTCCGCTACCTCATGGCTTTGGCAGAGGGGTAAGGTGCTATGTTAATTAACAGTTTCTAACTCACTCTCTTCTTTTGACTTTGTTGGTGGCATCATTAACCCTGAGACTTCCAGGTAGGGGATAGGCCAGTCTTCAGTCTCAGCTGTACCAGTTTCAAACTGAGTATGGACTTAAGTAAATAAACTCACACCTGGCACCCCGACTGGTTTTTTTCCACTTTATTTCCTACAGTGAGTGAGTATGTGACTGAACACCCATTCCAAGATAGATCTGCCCAGGCTCAGAGACAACTTGTGGGTCTGAGAAGTCCATAGTTCCATCAGTGATAATGTAGAGAAAATTTCTCGATTATCAGCGAAGATGACCATCAACAAGAGGATGCCAGGACATTGTCACGCCAGTGCAGAAGCGAGGTGCAATATAAAGTGCTTTATTGCCATACCCACAAAACGTGTTCTGATGAGTTTTTAGTATAAGCCTCCCACAAAGACTGAAACTCTAGTTATAAGTTACTGAATCCTATTTTAAGTTTGACAAAAGTCAAATGCATGCTTATGAATATTCTTTACTTAGTATTGCTTTTGTGTATAAGAAATGCCTGTCCTATACCTGATTCATATTGTATAATGGTTACTCTCACTTTGGAGAGACCCAGACCTGGAGAGAGCCAATACCTAAGCTATAAGTAAACCATCCCCAGAATACAGAAGTCCAGGTCTAATAAGCTGAAGGATGAGCAGGAATAGGGAACAGGCTTTTGTACTAAACAAAGCCAACATCAGAAATTTTCATTGTTTTATAGTCTGTTTCCAAAAAAGTCTGGAAGTGAAAAAGCTTTGGAATAGGACTCACATGAAGAATTCTTTGGACTACGAGTGAGGAAATCTGGGTTTCAGTGTAAGTTATACACATTTACTCCAATTGTCTGTTAGTTCTTATCAACAACAAGATGAGATGAAACCTGTACCAGGAATTGTATGAACATCATTTCCTGTGGCTATTCAATGTCCCCATTTTACTTATACTTTAATACTTCAAATATCTGTGAATTCATTGAGCTAGAACCAATTTTAACTAAAACATTTTTTCATGCAGTTGTGCTCTATGTTTTAGAAAAAGTCATCTGTTTTATAAATTAAGAATATAAATAATATGAATATGCTCTGGGCTCCTTAGAAGCCTAGTTTGGTTTCCCTCCCAATCAATGGTGAAGAGACAGAAGAAGAGGAAAAGGGAGGAAGAGAACGAGGGAAGGAGGAAAGCAGAGAGGAGGATAAAGGAAAGGCAAGAGGAAGGAGGGACAGTGGGGGGAAAGGGTGAGATGGAGAAATGGAAAAGAAGAGAGAAAGAAAGAGAGAGAGGGAGGGAGAGAGGAAGGAAGGAAGGAATAGAAAGAAATAAAGGAAGGAAGGAAGGAAGAAAGATGGATAGATGAAGGAAGAGAGGGGAAGAAAAGGAAAGACAGGAGGAAGAGAGAAAAAGAGAAAGAAGGAAAGAAGGAAGGAGAGAGAGAGAGAGAGAAAGAGAGAGAGAGAGAGAGAGAGAGAGAGAGAGAGAGAGAGAGAGAGAGAGAATTCATCCTCAATTGTATGAAACTCAGTTAACTACCACTGTAGAGCACTAGATGGTACCCATAGGACCTATCTAACACACTCAGGGAGTACTTTGTTACCCAAACATCTGATTCATCAATTACGCCATACACACAGCATCAATTCTAATTACCCTTGAATCAGTCACAAAGGAAGAGAAGATCATATTAAGCTTACCTTACAAAAGGAGTTTGTGAACATTTCTGTCAGCGGCTGTGATACAGCAAGGTGAGTATCTTCTGGGCTGATCTTGAAAACTGTCTCTAAGCACTGAATTGCAACTAGAAAAAAATTAAAGCAGTCAAGGGAAAAAAGCAATGATGAGGAAGCCTAATTTATTTTTAGTGGGATCACAGTTTATAATAGTTCAGCATTTCTGCACCAAGAGCATAAGGCAAAATAAATGCTTCAGCTGTATATAGACAACTCTGTTTATAGACCAGCTGTTTCAGGAAAGAAATGTGCATTTCTATTAATCATTTAAAAATGTAATATGGAAGATAATACCAGGCAGTACTTAACCATTATATCACATTATGTTATTAACTAAGTGTTTACCACTGGACTATTTAAACTATTTAATTTAATTCCACAAATATTTGTTGCTGTTAATACTTCAAATTTAACTATGATTAATCACTAATATTATAACTGCCTTAATAGAAGGTACAAAATAGGCTTTATCTCAAATAAAAAACACAAAGTAAAAGAAATTCTGAAACTGGTAAGAAGCCAATAAAAATAAAAAGTACTACTTACTTCAGAATCAAAAAACCTGGGTTCAAAACCTGACTCTGATACTTAGTACCTGTGTGACCTTGGACAAGTCATATAATTCCTAAGCCTCAGTCTCCACATTAGTAAAATGAAGGGGTTGGGTTAGATGGCTTCTGATTTCTCTTCCTCTAGATCTATGATCCTATTATTTGTTTTTTTTAAAAAAAACAAATGTTAAAAAATTCTTTTAACATGTAATTGGGGAAAAAATAAAATATATATTAAAAATTCTGATGAATTTGGACTTTGTTACAAAAACTAGAGATAACATGTATGGTAGAAAAAGCCCTGGTACTGGAGTCACAAACACTGCATGCTAAGGCTGGCTCTGCCATTAATGAGCTTTGTGACCTTGAGCAAATTACTTCACTTTTCTGGTTCTCAGTGGCTTTATCTGTAAAATGAGGTCAAGTTAGCTGATTTCCTGTGTTCCTTCCAGCTGTCAAGTTCTACAGTTCTATGACTGTCTAAAATTCTGTCCTATTTAAGTAAAGAGCTTTTACATTTATACCATTATCTGGGTATTTATGAATGAAACATCATTTCCAAATTACAGGAGTAATAGGAACAGCATGAAGCAGTGGAAAGAAAATAGGACTTGGAGTCAAAAAACCTGGGCTCCGCTAACTGTTGTTGTTGTTTGTCCTTCATTTTCAAAGAGGACCAATGATATCATGGGTGACATCTTAACTGGGTGCATGAATTGGATCAAAGTGAGGCAGAGTTGCACAAAGTCGTCAGCCTCACTCTCTCTTCCTGTGTCGTAAAAATCCAGTGGCAAGACAAAAGTCATGATGACTGACGGTGGCCCAGGATGCAGTGAATGACCTTGGCTTCTTCCATGTCTGACCAAGCTCTAAGAGCTCCATAGCACCTACTTCAGCCACCTTCATGGTTGTTGGAACAAATTGTTCTCTTGTTCTGGGGCTGGGGGTAGATGAGTCTTCATATGCTTAGGGAAGACACTCCCCCAATTCACCAATGGATTTGAGGCCTGTCAGCTACCTTCAACCTGGTTTAGCCCATCTGTCAAGACAGGATTTCCTGGAGTGTGGCCCTGTACAAGCTACAGCTTCTTGGAGTCACAGGTGAGAGATGGGCAATAGGTGGACACTAAAGGTGGATGAGCAGCCCTGAAAAGAGCTCAGTAAGCCCTTACACCAGAAGTGCTAGTCCTTCTGAACACCCCATATACTCCTTACACATCCCATACACATACTGGTTGTACAGCCTTGGGCAAATCACCTATAATAGAAAGAATGACTATCTATCTCTCTGTATCTATATTTATAGACATAAATATATAACATGTTAAGGTTTGCAAAGCACCTTACATACCTGTGTACTTTTCTACTTGTGCCTTTTTCTGGGTCATTCTCTGTACCTGGGCTGTCTTCTGTCTCCCTCCCATCAGCTGAATTCGATTATATGCTCTTTTAGCTATTAAAACCCAACTCATGCCTTCTTCATGAAACTTTCTCAATCCACCCTCCTACTCAATAATGAATTTTACAGATTCATCTCACAGAGCATTTTCTTGCATCTCTCTTAGCATGTGCATTATATTTGTATTTGTATATGTACTTGTGTATTTGTATATATGTTTGTATATTTGTATTATACTTATTTGTATAAATGCCATATTCTCACTAAGCTATAAGTTCTGTATTAATTTGTGTAACTAGCATATTTTCTTTTTTCTTTTTTTTTGGTGAGGCAATTGGGGTTAAGTGACTTGCCCAAGGTCACACAACTAGTATGTGTCACGTGTTTGGTCTGAGGCCGGATTTGAACTCAGGTCCTCCTGACTTCAGGTCCAGTGCTCTATCTACTGTGCCACCTAGCTGCCCCCATATTTTCTTTCTATTTGGAAGCTCCATGAAGACAAGGATCATTTCTTATCTACAATTTTTATCTCTTCCAGATCCTAGTACTGCGTTCTGCCCAGAGTAAGTGTTAAATAAACTCCTAACTGAACCAAAATATCACTAAATCTCTATGCATTTCAGTTTCTTCAGGTGTCAAATGGGGATAATACTTGCTGTCTACATCACAGGGTTGTTGTGAGGATCAAATGAGAATGTATGTGCTAAGCATGAGACTTCATGCTTGAAATGTCAAATTTCCTCATTAAAGAGCCTTTTACCACCATATAGCATCTATCCCTATTCAGCCTAGGGCAGAGGGAAGGACCAAGCATTTATATTGCACCTACTTTGTGCCAGGCACTGTGCTAAGTGTTTTTACAAATATTATCTTGATTGATCTTCACAACCCTGCAAGGTAGCTCATATCATTATCCCCATTTTACAGCAGAGGAAACTGAGGCAAATATAGTTTAGGAAACTGAGGCAAATAGAAACTTGCCAAGGGTCACACAGCTCAGTAAGTATTGGAGGCTAGATTTGAAGTCAGGTCTTCCTGACTCCAGACCCAGTATTCTATGCACTGTGCCACCAGCTGCCTCAGGTTTCTACCAGCTAACAATACAGCAAAAATCTTTCTTTTTTTTCTCAGTTCCAAATTCTCTCCCCTTTTCCACCCCCTCTTCCACCCTTGAGAAGACAAGAAATATGATACCTATTATACATATGAAGTCATGCACAGCATATTTCCTATTATACACATCAAATCATGCACAACATTAGCCATGCATACTGTCTTTCTTATACTGGGGGTCGTATGGAATAGAAAAGAATATTGTATTTTGAATCAGTAAAGACCTGTGTTTAAATCCTGTCATTGATACTTATTAGAATTGTGAACATGAACAAGTCACCTCTCTGATCTTTAGATGACCTCTCTGTAGCAAATGATGTTTTTGACCACTCTTTCTGGACACTCTCTGCTCCCTAGGTTTTCATGCTCAATCCCAGTTCTCTTCTTATCTGTCTTACCATTCTTCTTCTGTCTCTTTTGCTGGATCTTCATCTATGTCATGCCTACCAAATGTAGGTCAACCCCAGGGCTCTATCCTGTGCCCTCTTCTGTTGTCTATACTACCTCACTTGGTGATTTCATCAGCTCCCATGGGTTCAATGACTATTTGTATTTAGAAGACTCATAGATCTATATATCTAATTCTAGTCTCTCTCTCCTAAGCTCCAATCCCACATCATGAACAGCTGATCCAACATTTCTAAAGGGATTAACCATCATAACCATCCAAATTCAACATGTCCAAAACAGAAGTGATCATCTTTCCACCTCAGTCCACCCCAATTCAAATAACTTCCCAATATAACTCTCAAGAGCACCATCACTCTTCTAGTCACCCAGATTCAGAACCTAGGTATCATCCTCAACTCCTCACTCATCCCATACATCCAACCAATTGCCAAATCTTGTTTCTATCACCACAACACCTCCTGGACTCATCAGTCCCCTTCCGTTATCTGTACACATAGCTATTAGTTGGGTTCCTCCTCATCTCTCATCTGGATTAGTATAACAGCCTCCCAATTAGTCTCCCTGCCTCACCTTGCCCTACTCCAATCCATCTTCCACCCACCTGCCAAAATGATGTCCTAAAGCACAGGTCTGACCACATTACTCAATAAATTCCAGTGATCTCTCATTACCTCTAGGACCAAATATAAGCTCCTTATATATGTTTGGCATTTAAAGATCTTCAAAACATGGTTCCCCCTCCCAGCTATCCTTTCAGTTTTCTTATACGTTACTCACCATCCATGCCATCAGCAGTCCAGTCATCCTGATGAGCTTGCTGGTTCTCACACAAGGCTTTTCATCCCCTATCTCTGTGCCTTTGTCTGGACATCATGCCTGGAATTCTCTCCCTCCTCCCTTCCACTTCTTGGAATATCTGGCTTCCTTCAAGATTCACATTAATTGCCACCTTCTCCAGGAGGCTTTCCTTGGTTTCTCCAGCTGCTAGTGCTGTCCCCTTTAAGTTTACCCTATATCTACTTTGCACGTATCTTGTATATACCTATGGACATGTTGTCTCCCCCATTAGAATGGAAACTCCTTAAGGGCTGGGTCTAATTTTGCTTTTTCTTTGTATGCCCAGAATTAAATACAGTGCCTGGCACACTGTTAGTGATTAACAAATGCTTGTTAATTGATTAGCTATAAAATGGAAATATTGATACTTGCAGTAACTACTTTGTGAAGTTTCAAATTAGATAATGTATAGGTGCTTTATAAATCTTAAAGTGCTAAATAAATGTTAGATTTTACAAATATTATCTTCCTTGATCTTCACAACCCTACAAGGTAGCTCATATCATTATTCTCATTTTACTGAGGCAAATACAGTTGAGGAAACTGAGGCAAATAGGCAAAATCTTATTGTTTTTATCACTATGATTGCAGAATATACAACTAATGATTAATACTTCTTTAAGGAAAATACAAAACTATGAAAATCAGTTAAATTCAAGACCTAGTTATTTAGTACCCATGTGTGGATCCAAATGAAACGTAAGCAGTATAGCATAGTGGTGAGAGGTCTGATCTTGGAGCCAGAAGATCTGAGTTC